ATATAGTGTGGAGTGTGTGTGTGTGTGTGTGTGTGTGTGTGTGTGTGTGTGTGTGTGTGTGTGTGTGTGTGTGTGTGTGTGTGTGTTTGGAGAATAAAACGCACACATGCATCTCAGTCATGTGACATCATCACCACGTGCGCCGTCATACACGCAAGCAGACCCCTTCATGCCCCTTGACGGGGGCTTGAATTTATGCAACGACCCCGGTAGAATGTTGTTCCGATGTGTCCGTTTCCTACACTGTGTGACCTCCTGCGACGCGTGCCTGTGTTCCGCCTCTTTGTGTGTATGCGTGTGTCCGTTTGGGTGTTTTTGTATCCGCCAACCAGTCACAACATTATGACTTTGAGAGCCATTACAAGAGCTGTATCACACATTGCCCCTTTGCAAAAATGAGTTTCGATAGACAGTGTAATCTTAGCAATGGGCTTTTTCTTGTTTATTTACAATGTTTGGGTGACCACAATTACTTCGTACCCCACATATTCAAGATTCACGACTCGCAAATTCACCTAGTCCTGATTTTTGGGGTAAGTCCAGTCATGTCGAATAGAAAGGTAGTGCGTTGGCATCACACTGTGGCATATATGTGCCATGGAACTATGTTGAAGTGAGAGATAAGCTTCATTTTGTCAGGCTGTTGCCGCGTCTAACAGAAAACTAGTGATTTGGCGCAACTTGGGGCCAAGGAACTATGTTGAAGTGAGGGGATGAGCGTCATTTTGTCAGGTCATCATCACCTTGTGTGAGAAAAATCTAGTGCTATGGTGCCATCCTGTAGCATCTTGGTGCCAAGGTACTATGTTGAAGTGAGAGGAGGAGCTTCATTTCCCCAGGTGGTCGCCTTGTTTGACAAAAAGTAGTGTTTAGCCACCATCTTTGTAGCATCTAGAAGCAATTATAAGTCTTTATTGGGGTGTCAATTAGTCACGGATCACTGTACGTACATGAAAGTCAAAATATTTGAACTAGATCTCAGTACCCTTGCTGATGTGACAAGGTGGTTGAGTGGGCAACGCGTCTGAATTTCCGGTTTGTGTGGACTCTAACTGGAATTGAGAGCATGGCATTATTTATTTACAGTTGCTTAATCGGTCTGTGGGCAGAATCGTGGGGTGTAATAGTGGTAAACATGACTGCCTCACAGTGTTGAAATTCAACACTGTGAACATTATCATACAGCTCTTGTATTAGATATTCTGTTGTGATAGCGTTCTCAATCGTGTGGCTGTCAAGTGCGTGTCTGTGTTTGTGTGTGCAAGTCATGGGGCTTCGTCACCCTGGCTCCATGTCCCACACCAGTGGCTCCCACCACCATCCCCGTAGCGCCTTATAGTCAGTGAGTGGCAGGCTGCCGGTAGGAACAAGGCAGCCAGTAGTGGAGGAGGGAAGGTGAACAGAGGAACTCGGCTCTTCTTCTTCTTGTCAGTTTTCTTTTTGTTTTGGTTTTCCCCTCCTGAGATGTGTTTGTTTACTATCTGATTAAAAAAAAAATCTATAAAACAAAATCCTTAAAGACAAAAAAAGCTGAAAAAAAAAATGTCGGTGGAGCCCTGTGGGTTGCGGCTCTCTCTCTTTCTCTCTCTCTCTCTCTCTCTCTCTCTCTCTCTCTCTCTCTCTCTCTCTCTCTCTCGCTCTCTCTCCCTATTCTCTCCTGCTTATGTTCTTACTTAACAATTATTAACAATGATGATGATTATTATTATGATTATTATGGTTATTATTGCTATTATTCTTAGTATTCTTATTCTCATTATTAATCTAATTACTGCGATGAATGACTTCATGTTATCCTTGCTAGTTTAGGTCATTTCTGAAACTGGAAACAAAATAGAAACTCTTGCTGTAAATGTTTGTTTTTTCTTTTTCATAAAACTGTTGTGTTTGAATTATTTGTACTTTTGAATGTTGGGACAATAAAATGAGGTGTCAAGAGCTCGGACATCTTGGAGTGTTATGTACACACACACACACACACACACACACACACACACACACACACACACCCGATGCTGCATTTGTTACACGTACAAAGTTATATGCAAGATGTTGACGGTCCTGATGGGACGTTTCGACTTTGTGAGTGGAATGGGCGGGCCGGTGCAGCAGAAGTGAGTGTCTAAGAGAGTGGAAACCACTATCGGTGGGGCACATGAACAATCTGGCTCGAGGGACGGTCTCCAAGTGTCCACTTCACAGCACAGATGTGCTTACGCCATGTTGAAACTCTCGTGTATGACTAGCACACCGCATTTAAAGGAGACACCTTGATCGGCTATGATTGAAGTAGCCTGTGATTGCTCCCACAGCGACGCAGCTCTCCCTCTCGCTGATCTGCCGGCCTGCGTCTGCAAAATTACCAACATTGGGTCAAACTCCTCGGCGCATGATTTACACTGGTCAGGAAAACAGACTACAACCCTACAGCTGTTGTGACGTTCATCTTGTTTTATTTATTATTATTCTATTGTTTGGACTACAATAGTATTGTTCTCTTTTCTGAGGTGTGTTATGTTTTAAAATATATGGAGAGATTTTTTTCCCTTTATTAAAAATTTAAAAAATCGTGCTAGTTTTCAGGGGTCTGAACGGATGAATTGTTTTTCAATACATTTCAATGGGGAAAATACATTTATGAGTACTTGCTCATAGAATAAAGTAAAGTCTTAAATCAGGGTAGTGATTAAAAATATAACGTTTTTAATTACTTCCTTCAAAATATAACATCACACAAATGTTATCTTTGCAACCCGTTTGAAATATTGGACGTTTAAAAGTAAAAAGTTAAAAAGAAAATTAGCATCAAATCAGTCTGATGACATTCCTGTACAACTCAGAAACACTTTGACGACATTATTGCACCATATCTGGGGTTCACTATGCTATGCGGTGATCTAGTAAATAAGCCACGTAACAATCCACCATCCTGTCAGCATTCACGTGTATTCCTAAAGTCACATCAAATAATTTGTATGTTTATACAAGTGTAAAAATAATTCAAGAGCATTGCAGCCAATTTCATGATTCGAGGAATGTCGCACGTATGGACGGTGAAGCGTTCTTTCAACTGGCAAGTACAAAAAGAAGTTAACTACTTTTTAGAAACAAGTAGGACTTGGAAATAATGTACTGTGCCTTGTTTTAAATTAATTTGGATTACGGAGCCGCAGAGAGAGGCAAAACACATTTTGTTCTGATCTTAATCTATATTGTGCTGAGCAGACTGGACAGGTTTCCTGTCGCAATACATTCCAATTACTTCATTGCAAGAGTACAGATGGATGAGTCTGTTGGGCAGCTCAGTTGGGACTCAAATGAAGACAAGCGCTATAGAAAGTGGATGGATGGATGGGTTTGTCGGAACCACGCTAAGGATTAGTCAAGGCAATACACTAATGCCTTGTCTGCATTTTTGCCTCGAAGCATTAAGTACATTTTTAATCAACATGACTTTTTTCTTTTCACATTCTCCTGCTTCATAAAGAAAGAGGGGAAGAGGCCAATCATGCCAGTAGGTTTAAAATCAGTATTCTAAGAAGAACAGGCAAGGCAGTAATGTCCCGTAATGACACCTATAAAAACTAAATCACACCGGAGAATATTACAGAGCTTGTGGAGGAAATGATGGCTGTTCGAAAATGATATGTCCAGACACTCTTGTCTTCCCTCTCGCTTTGTTAGAAACCTAATGACCTGACACTCTCATCAAGGTCGACTCCAAAGCAGAGTCAACGCGAGTCCACTTCCTTCAGGCTTCGAAGGCTTCAGTAGCTTAACATTTGGAAGACTCGTTTTAACTCTGCTGAAACAATGGCACCGACCAAAAGTGGTACAATTATCTTGACCACAATTTTAGTGTAAAATACGCTTGAAATTTCAAAGAATTTTTGACAATTCGTGATGTCGTCATATCAGACGAGCAGTAATTACACCAAACTAGAAAAGAAAAGACCTCGGAGCACGAATGTCAAACTCAAGGCCAGAGGGCCAAATCTGGCCCACCACATATTATGTGGTCCACTAAAGCAAATAAAGTGTCTACTTTTTGTTTTCTTTGTTCATTTTGTACGAAAATCTGCACCAACATTTTTTATTTTAACTGATATTACTAGCATCCCTTAACATAAATTGGCCAATACTTGTCTACTAGTCGCTAACTCAAGCTAACTCATGAGCTTCAGCGCACGCTAGCCCCATGTATACTCTTAATTCGTTAGCAAAAGTGTCTGTGATGTTCACCTTAGCCGGTTTTCCCTGGGCTTCTTAGAACTCCTCAGAAGCCCTACAATGTGGTCCCACCGAGATCGCTGTCACAACAGTTTGACGCAATTCTCAGACCCTAAAGAATCTAACAAGCAACAACAACAACAACAAAAGGAACCTAGCATACCAGCCGGTTATGCTTATCACCCTATGATGCAAGTAGAGCTAGCTGTGAGTTTGTAGTTTCTGTTTGACCATGGCCCAAGCAGGGCTTACAGTTTTCTATCTAGTGTAAACATGTAATCTTTGTTTACAAACTAAAAACTGATCTTAAAAAAAAAAAAAAAACAAACAAACAAACACTGATGTCAAATAAATCTGATGGTGTTTCTTGCAATGCAGGTTAATTAATTGCTGTTGTTTGTTTTTAAAAAAAGACATCGGAAGAAAAATCGCAATGTTGAGGGATAAAACAAAAATCATGATTCGATTACAGTATTTTGTAAAATCGTTCTGGCCTACATTCACAGCTGGGATAGGTCCCAGCTCACCCCCGACCCTAATAACGACAAAGTGCTAAAGAATAACCCCACAAAATGTCTACCAAAAAAAATATGTTTTATGCTGGCAGCTTGTTCCATAATTAGCAATTCACAACGCACAGCATGTAAATGAGGAGGCCAAAATAAAACATGCTCCGACGGGGGGATGCTCGCCTTGTTCCGTCACCTGCTGCAACCATATGATACCGACTCTCAGCTTCTATATAAACCACTTTTCATCTGCTTTGGTGAGAGCGCATCACACCCGCTCCGTGGTGTGAATGTCAGCATCCTGCCGCGCCGAGATGCAAAAGGCAGCTCAGCCAAATGACAAGCGAGAGGCGGCACAGTCGGAAGCGTATTATATCATAAGGAGCTACTTGTCTTTGGCAAATCTTCCCTAGTCAAATCTACAGCGGGGGAGCCATTGTTGCCCTCCAGTTCCCCTTGGTATGCGCTGACGTTAACGACGTGCCTCTTTTCACCCCTTTTGTCTGCTTTACTGAATCTAAAGACTCATAACTTCAATGCGTGCTATTTATTAAAAGGTGCGCGCGACGACGAGGCCCTCTTTTCCTTCTCATCAGGAGCACACACACACACACACACACACACACGCACACGCACACGCACATGCAGTGATCACACAGATCGTTTTATTAGCTTTGAGGCCACATTTCGGGCATTTTCTCGGATTCATGACAAGCTGCTCTTTATAGCTTCACTTACTTCAATAGCATGACGTTCAACTTACACAGGCATGTTTTATATTTATTGATTGATTGATTAATTAAAGTAGACTGCTACATTTTTTACAGCACTTTGTCATCTGAATTTCCACTAGTTTAAACAAGGCGTTCTGATTAATATTGTGTTTGTGGAATATGAGTTCAGCAGCAAAATCCATGTTTTTCACTATCTCAGGCGGCGGCCATTTTGCCACTTTCTGTCAACTGAAAATGACATCACGGGTGCTTGGGGCTCAGTTAACAACCATTCATGGCTCACCTGGTTTCTGAAGCTGAGCTATCTCGTAAAACTCAAAGTATCAGTGCACTGTTATGAGCTCGAGTATGTTTTTTTTTTTTTGTTGTTGTTGTTTGTTTGTTTTGTGGGGATTGTGAAAAGACAAGAGCAGGCCCCGGAAATGACAAGAACATGGCCAGATGAAGTGCCCTTGTGGAACGATATTGAATCCCAAGCAGCTCCAGGCAGCAGGAGTGCTGTTCTGCAACAGCGATTTGCTCGATTCTGCAGTAGGCAGTCCCTCTGGAACAGACAGGAATTCATCAGCAGGTGTTGTCATGTAAATACAACACTGGCAAAGAATGAATCACTGTTATTGCCTGTGTGCAAAATGGCACCACTCTGGCAAGTTGGAAACAGGTAAGAATAAGTTTAGCATGTAGTTGACCTTGGATCATCTTGTTCTTGGCTCACGTGAAGACACCGCTTTGGTCCTTTACAATTACAGGGTCACAGTGTGTGGGAGTCCAGGCTGGTGCATCAAACCCAAAACCAGACAGACTCGGGCGCTCCCGTGAGAGCGTATACATTATTTACACGCCATCTGCTGCACCGGCTCGCTTGCATCTTTCCCGTTGCATGACGCACAAAATAGCTGCATTCGTCTCAGCTGCAACTTTTTTGCACATGCAAATAAGAACATGGTGCCTCTCAAGAGCACACGCTGTGTGCAGTGCCAAGTAGTACAACCAAAACAATTTTCACATACAGTGAATATTGTGGTTTATTGTTCGCGTGCTTCCTATTTGGCGGATTTTCAAGCAATTGTTTTCCAGTCATTTTTTTACAGAACCTGGATATCCAGGAAATGTATACTTGTGTGTCTTCAGCGCAGTCCCATGTTGTGTCGCAACATTCCAGACAGTGCTGAGGTTCAATGGAAGACATTCGGACGAGGACGCCTCTTCAGTGTAATAAGAGAGCAGAGAAAATACTGTATATGCTTCTTAGTGTTGTTGTGTAATCTGTCTGTATGTGTTGCTCCTCCACATGCGTGGTGTGTGAAAGTAGCAGTTTTGTTAAGGTTTCTCATGATTTTAGAGTGACTGACTGCTCATTTCTTAGGTTTTGCATTAGTCGCAGACTTTGATTAAAAGAAATGTTATTGTTTGGTTGAACCATTGTGGTACTGGTATTTTTTTTATATATACTTATTTGTACAATCTCTCATTCTTTTTAGTTATATGGATCAGTTTTACTGTCAGTGTTCTACAAAGACATCAACTGGGAGGGACATGAACAGCGTGAAGTAAGAATGCTTTGCATTGCATTTGGAGAAATTGCAGAGAGTCTTCATCTTGTCGTTTCTTCAAAACATTGATGGAAAACTGGCAGCCCACTCCCGATTAATTTCTGAAATTAAAAAAATATATATTGTTGCTAATTGCTGATCATTGAAATGTGTAATACCGGTGTTAACCATACGATGGCAGAGCTCACTCTCCAGTGCCTCCAACGCCGAGGCTGAAATTGTGAAGAAGAGCATACCGTGGCCACCACAACAAAAGTACGGCAACGACTGTGATTTATTTTCCCCTCCCCACAGTGTAGTAAATTAGTGTCCTCCAATAACATAGATATGCCCAACGCTTAATAGTGTTTCAAACGCGTGGCATAATTTCGGAAGCATGTTACAGAGGAGCACACATCGCTGCTCTATACAGTACTGGCACAGTCCGCTCAGGTGAGTGAGCTTGCTCTTCATTTGGAGATTTGAATGATATGCAAGAAAACAGAGGGTCGTATAAGATTACAATTTTCAGTTGATTTTTGGGAAAACGTGCACAAAATGAGTTCTTGCATTTAATGTCGGTTTGCCGTTTAACAGTTTGCCATTTTTGACCGGGAATTTTTATACAAGAGGGCCCTGGGACTGTCCAGCACCGACAGTCAAATGGCTCCGACATTCCTCCCAATCAAAATCGATGCTGGTACACGCGTGCTGCCGAGAAGGTGCAAATTCTCCTGCTTTGACAAATGGCGTGGCCAAAAAATGCTGAAAACAATCCACATCAGGTCCACACGACATAACAACAACACCATGTTACAAAACAAAACACAAAAACAACAAAAAAGCAAGGCACTTGAAGGGCACTTGCCAACGGCTGCCTACTTGGGCGCCATCTTGAGGTAAAAAATGTGATTCTTTTGTGTAGTTGGGCATTGGATCTTTCTATGAAAATTATAATATATGAAGATACTCCTCTATACTTTGACTCAATGAGAAAACGGTCCTGCACACATTTTGCTTAAAATAATAGAGGTAAATATTCCATTCTTTCAACAAGCCATAGGCAGTGTTGTTTAAAAACAGTCAATTTGTAGTTTTCACATTTTGGTCCAGGCTAGTGTTAATGCTCATTCCCACTAATGGTGGCATGAAATGCGTCGCGGCATGGGCAACAGACAACAGATTGTTGCCCCTAAGCAAGAACAGTGTCAGTTGAGAACGCTGGAAATGTCGCATTGGAACGTGGAAACTTCCCAGGGGAGCACTCTGACAACTTCCTGAACGGGATCCACAGCTTATTAGGCCCATTTGTGTCACCTGCTCACTTCCACTGGCACAAAGGGCCTCCTGAGTGGAATTTAATTCTCTTCGAATAATCTGGCAAAGTGGAAGGAATTCACCATGTCAGGTAAGGACTGTCGGAAATAACATATACTACCCGTATATATCTTGGTGGTGTTTGTTTCTATGACTGTCCTTCAAAATATTGTAATATGTTGAAACCGCCCCCCCCCCCCACCCCCGAAAAAAAAAAGACAGATGACTGCTGGAATAGAAAACCCTGTCCGATGTTTGATACAGTGATCCCAAAGTGGGCACAACTCTCACTGCCGTAGAAGATGGAAGCCTTTAGAAAAGAAAATCCAGTCAGCACAACAAAGGCATAAAGTATATTTACTGCAAAACTCATTTGGCAAAGCATTTAAGTAGAACATAAATCTTCTTTATAGGGGGCTCTGTTAGTGCAAAGTCACTGCTTGGACCTTAAGTGGCCAAAGTGAGATGTAATCCAGGGCCTTCATCAATCCTGCTTGTATTGTTCCCCAACAGAAATGTATTCTCTCTGCTCGCGATGACATTTTCCCTCCCTTTCGCCGCCTCGGCTTGCACATGTTTGCTTTTGGCGCGCGCCTCCGTGTCAAGCGCACTGGTGCTATTTGTCGCTTGGACGCTGATGGCTGTGATAATGGTGACGGTGACAGTGAGAGGTGCTGTTGTGGGCTGGTGGAAGCAGCAGAGCCCCCTCCAGCCCCCCTGCTGTTTGCTCAGGGAGATGCGCAGCAAGCCCCCCTACAGTCACTGCCAAACACTGGCACTGCTTCGAGTGTGTCGTGGTTGCATGCTATTTCTTTGTTCGCCTTTGAATGTGCATGTTGTGATAGTGATTGATTGACCCCGTACTGTTTTAGCAGTGCTTTAATGATGATGTGTAAATAGATTGTTTCTCAGTGCAGGACATACCTCCTCCAAGGCTGAAATGACCGACTTCATTTTCGTCCAATGTCGTATCGTGCAGAATCATGCTGACTGTAGGACGTGTACAATAGCTTGCATGTCGTTCAATTTCTCATCGCTGGTCTTGTTTCACGAAACTAGTGGTACCGTCACTCGCAAGTTTAATTTGCGCTCTGAATTCCGAATTCTTGTTTTTAGGGCCTTTGCCATATTGAGCAGAATAAATAATGTTACCGGCAAGAGTTGTCATCGCGGGAATGTCCCACCGTTGACACTCATATTGGCTTCTTGAGAGAGCAAACGAGTTGAGAGTGAATCAGCAGTGCCCTATTTCTTATCTTCCTGAAATCAGCTTGTTGTAAGCGGCCAGCAAAGTCAAGAAAGTGTATGAGGAAGAGCAGGTTGGATCTCACCAGTTAGTTTGTGCAATGGCCGCTTGCTACAACTTGCACAAGCAGAGCCCCCGTTAACCCCCGCGTGCCTTCCCTCCTCAGCCGCTGCTGCGACAAGAAAAGTTGCGGCAATCGGAACGAGACGCCCTCTGACCCCGTCATCATCGACAGGTAGGACCCGCCCCCTTTGTGTGTGTCTGTGTGTGTGTGAGATGACATGATAAGACCATTTCAACTGATGGAGGCTGCAGTTCATATTCTCCACTGCTCACTCTATTTAGTTTCAATTTCTTTGACGACATGAATTATTAGCTTTCAATTCCACTTAACAATCATACAATTCTATGGCCCATGCACTACCGCAGAGCAAATTTTAATCTGGTACTACTATTTACTGTTTAACTGTGTTCAGATGACTGCTGTGAAAGAGGTCATTAAAACAACAAAGCCAGTCTTGGCCAAAGATGTTGTCCGAGCGAGTGTGGACATTTTTCAGGTCTTCCAGAGTGTGCACGTGTTGTTGTGTGCACGCGAGCAACGACAAAGCCAAATATTGTACGTGTGTGTGTGTGTGTGTGGATGATTTCAGCTCGGCAAGTCCGCCACCCAACCATCTGTCACCACGGGGCCACCGTGTTCTGAAGCCAATCATCTCCTTCCAACAGCTTCTAGCGTCCTTGCTCCATTTTCCAGCAACGCTGCGCCACGCCAAACACACACACACACATGCACACGCACAGACTCACTCACACTCAATGGCAACGTCTGCCACATGCTGCTATCAGCAGACGCACTGACTCACACTCGCAAACTTAACTATCGCACAAAGGCCGCCCCTTGGACGTGTCTGTTGGCGGAATTGTGTCAGTTCCAAATTGCCGCTTGTTTGGAAGTTCTCAGAGACTCTGATGAACAAGTTAGGTTGCAGTGCTTCGGAGGAGCCTATTGTGTGACACGTGGACTCTTTGGAGTGATTAGCACTGTCTACTCCCCCCACACTGTTCAAACACAAACTCACATATACAGGTGCGGTTCAATGAATTTGAATATCATCGGAAAGTTCAAGATAAATTTGTATATTCTACAGATACCTTAGACAGGAAAATATTTTACAGGTGTAAACTTTTTTTTTTTTAATCCACTTTAAAATGGACAAAACCAGAAAATTGACAGAGCAGCTTTCACTCTCCTGCGGGGTTTTCCACAGTTTTTTGGAGTGTGTCTCGAAGAACTTTTAGTTTATTTACGCAGAAAAACGTTGTTGCTGTCAGTGTTTGACCAGCTTGACATCAGGACTCTCAAGTTCTTCGACACCAAACTTATCCAAGCATGCCTTTTTTTTTTTGGCCTCGCTTTGTGCATTTGGGAACAGAGAAGGTCCTTCCCCAACTTTTTCCCATTAAGGTGGAAGCATACCATCCATCCATCTTCTTTAGTGTTTGTCCTCATTAGGGTTCCAGGTGAGCTGGAACCTATCCCAGCTGACTTTTAGGAGAAAACAAACAACCATTTACGGTCACATTCACATTTAGGTTCATTTACTGCTTTGAATTGTGTATAACATGCGTGTTTATCTTTTTTTTGACATGTGAGTACCTGGAGTAACCACGCGAGTAATGAGAAAAGTTTAGTTGTAGAATCTGACAAACCAAATGCAATTGTGCATGTGCATCTTTTGGGTTTGAATTTTGCATTGATTCCCGTTGTCACGTTCCCTCCACTTCGAGACAGCCGCCGCTTTTAAATAATGCAGCCCTTTCACCTCATAGTATGAGATCATATAGAAGAACTTGCTGCGAAAGATTCGGCACACACAGATGTGAGCAGTCTCGTGTGAGCAGCCTGTCATCTCATAAATAGTTCAATCTTCTCCTGAAAAATAGATCTCGGCCTGCCTGTCACGGCATCTATTCACGCACCAGATATAGGTAGTGAGTAACCGTGAGGCCGTCCATGTGCTGTAGCGTGATCTCTACCTGTGCTTTTCGAAGAGATTCATTGCAACAGTGTGGATAGAAATCAGATGGGGATTTCTTGGCTTAACGTTGCACCCTCATAAGCGTCGGATTCCAATTTTAATTTGATGTGCAAAGCTAAATCATATTTTTGGGTATGTTACTTTATGTGGAATTATTCATTTTTATGGATTTCAGATCATACTTATTTATGGATAATTTATGTTAGGTCATGGAAGAAAGGATCAAAATAAGTTTAGATTTTTTTCCTACTCGTTTTTGGACTGGCAGTTGTGGTTGAACCGATAAGGTGACGAGTCGACTATTCTGTGATTATTTTTTGTCCATTTTTTTTTTTTTTTTGGCAAAATAGTCATCTGCGAAATAACTCAAACTAAAATAGAAAAAATATTGTTGTTCATGAAGGCTGCTTTTAACAAAACAAAATCTACCTGAAAATACATTTGACGTTTATAAAAGGAACTAAAACTAACAGCAAAAAAAAATGCCCTTCGTTTTAGTCTTTGTCAAATTTCATTCGTGAACTTTCAGGGTTTCTTTTGCATGTTTTTATTTTCAGTATTACTGTTCGGCCATACAGAAGAAGAAAGGTCGTTTGGGAATTGCAGTTTACTTTATGAGACAATACTCTTTTATTTCAATTGCACTCAACAAATACTACATACCAAGCTATTATCACCCTGGACAGAGGGTCCAAAAATAGGCTAGTTGTGGATGAGAACAACAGTTAGCCTTGCTAGCTTTGTCTACTCCAATCGTTGCTCGCACGGGGACTGACGGCTCCAAAGGAGGGCAGCGGCACAAAATGAAGCTCTGTCTTCGGAGCCATGATGTGATGCCCGATAATGCA